TATCCATACATTCCAGCTCTGCTGGTTCATGCCTATAAAGCAGGTGGAGCACAAAGGAATCTGGCAGAAACTGCACCAGATAACCCCAAAGGGAAGTTGGGTCTGCCTCTGCACTCAGCACAGACCTGGAACTAAAGTTGTACCTTTTGTAGCTCCTCAAAGCCCAAGCAAGCATCCCCTCCTCCAAGGACATGCTGGTTCTTGTTTGGGTTTTGTCTTTTAATCAATTCTGCCCTTGCTGTGCAAGTTCCCATCTCTGTGATGGAGAGCTCTGCAGGGCTCTTCCCACTTTTATTACCAGCAGAATAGGCCATTGTCACACAATCTACATAGGGATTATATTGGTCATAATTGTCCATTTTGAATGAATTACACCACAGTCTTCTCTGATGCCTTTCTCTCCCTGTGAGCAACTCCAGCCCTGGATTTTTCAAAACAACAAATCTTGGTTCCTTGAAGGACAGCTTTTGAGAAATTAGACAATGTGCAACCAAAACAGAGCGATGGGAAGCAAGAGACTTGGTGTTTAATCAAGAATCCTGCTGCTATCCTCAGGGAAGGGCCCTTCACTTCACATATCCCTATTTTCTCTCCCTCTGTCAAAATCTGAATTGACGAAAAGCAGCTGAGAGTCCTTGCCACCACTGCAAGTTTTCATCACTCTGCAAGATTCAGTCCAGTGTAAAGAAATCACTTTTTTTTTTCTTCCAGCTTCTGGCAGGTTGAAGCTTGAATACAAAAGAAAACACCGCAAGTCTAACACAGGGAAAGGAAATGCGTATTTGTATGTCTTCATAGCTTGTAATTAGTTTTTTAATATTTATACAATACCTAAAAAGTATTGACAGATCCCTTTCTGTAGACATAAAAAATAAATAAGGAAAAATGCATTTAGATTGAACAGAAACGTTTCCATCTGGAACCAGACATCTGGCTGATGGAAAACTGAGGACTCGTTTCAAATCATGGATTTGCTGGTCACTTCTTCGTGGGCACATAAGCAAACCTATGTCTGTCAAAGTCAGATCTTGAGAACGTACACATTTCTCATAGAATAATTTTCCCTTCAAACAAACAAACAAAAAAACAAAGCCTGGCTTTCCCATTAAAATCTTGAAAGCAGCACTGTATCTTCTGGTCAGCTGGTTTTATGCTCAATAGTTCTTGAGCATAAAATGGTGAGGTTACTAATCCAAGCCCTTCATGGAAGAGCAGAATTAGTGCTAACATGCACTCAGGACATGTGTTCACTCGCACATACAATTTTAATGCTAAGTGTAAGAATCAGTATTTTCAGCCTAAGGAAGCCTGGGTGTGCACCACAGCAGAGCAAGCAGCGTGGTTATGCTGCCATCAAGTGGACACACTTTGCTGAATTGTAAATATCTTTCTGGAGCTGTAAAGGTAACAGTATTTTAGGACTGTATTAACAATTTTGGAGTTTTTTAACACCATGCTGAAGAATGGCTGCATTCTCCAGCTTTTAAATTATTCATATGCAAATTATTGGGACAGATTTTACTGTAAACTCTCCCAGATTCTCTGGCAGCCTTCTGTTGCCATAATAACACAGGAAAAATCTGTGCACTCCTCAGATATATGACTATGTCCTATTTAAATTCCCAGATTATATCAGATGCATGGAAGTCCTGGTGATAAAAAAAGGGATTTGGGGTCCTTTCAAATTGACAGTGAGAATGGGGCTCTAAGGAGTGCCTTTGTGATGGCATAAGAAAGATTTTTCACTATCTACAAGCTGATAGAAAACCATTAAAAAATGCATAAAAGCTGCTGGCCAAAAGTTAATATATGGGCCAAAAGTTTAGCTCTAATGAGCATGTTCTACTTCATATAATTTTTGGCTTCTTCACAGCATTTTTTTCTGGCATTCTACAGCAAAGTTTATCAAAGCTTCTGTCTTTACAGCCAATTCACACTGAGCAAAAAAAGAAAAAATATGCAGCTCACTGAAACATGATGGTTCTCTTCTTAGCCTGAAAATTTTGCTTAAATCACTGTTCCAATTTTTCAAAATAAACAAATTCTATAAGTTTTACAATATTTATTTCTCAGATAATATAAACAAAATATATTTTGATTTTTAAAGAAAATAATCTAATTTTTACCTTCATTCAAAAAGCTATTTTATATATATATATATTAGTGAAATGTGATGTATGTTTTCCACTGCTTTTTATACCAGTGCTCTTACTGAGGGAAAAAAAAAAAAGTAAAAAATTTTAAAGTGGAGCTACAGACAATACTCCCCTCTAGGGGCAGAAACAGAATTTGCAGCGTTCCATTCAGGAGCGCTTCATTTGTAAATCACATTAGTGACATAAAACTAATAGGTCCTCCCAAGTGAAAGACAAACAGAATTATTAAGTCATTCCCCACAGAGAACACTGCTGTCTGTGAAATCTGTCTAGAGGACGCATTCCTGTATTCACACAGAAGGACTTTAATGCCACACATACAGAGAAGCTCATTTATCAGATTTCCATCCAACACACATCCCGTCAACTTCTGACCCAGACAATGTATCATCAAATGCAATATGCGAGGTGTACATTTTTCTTTATAAGTAAACACGTGTGTCATGGAAACGTATGTCCTGACAAGTACTAAAGCTGGAAGTTTGCTCAGCTGCTCATACTTGGTATATTTGGAAGCGAAATTGGATGGAAGGTCAGCATTGGCTCGGCTGCTTTCCTCCCCTTCATTCAGGCAGCCAGATGCAAGGTTGCAAAAGCAATTCAGGCATCTCTGTCAATGACAGAGGGTCCAATCCTCCCCACACAGAATACTCCTACGTACAGTCTGGGAAGCTCGCAATTCCTCCTTGGAAACGAGGAGAATGCAGAGCTAACAGAGGGTTGTCTACACATCCCCAGATCCTGAGAACTGAGTAAGCCTGATGGGAGCTACAGGAACTGGGGCTCAAGCCTCAGCTGAAACTCAGTACTTCGCAATGCATTACCACTGAGACAAGCAGCTCCCCCCAAAAAAAGCCCAGTGCTGTCTATCTTCTCAAGGAAAGCCATCCTAGGTAACTCTGCTAGCTGTTACCTTTGTTAGGACACTCAAGGAAGCTGAAGGGGCTGGCTGCTTGTCACAGTCACCTCTGAACAGGTTGGGATGATACCCTCAAGACACCCTGTGGCACAGAATGGCTCTGCCTCCAAAGGAGCACCGCTCCATGCATCTTACAAAAGCAGGGTCCTGACTCATGTTTAAGCAGAAGGGATAGACACTTGAAAGTTATTACTTGTAACAGTGGAAAGCAAGCTGATTTAAAAGATTTGCACTCTATTTCTTATCACATATACTGTGGTTAGTAGAAATTTTATTTCCACAGACAATATTCTAACCAAAAAAAAAGTTATGTTGCATGGTTTTTTTAGGTTACAAAAGCATTATGTTCTTTCTGTAGTCTACAAAATCATCAATCCCAAAAAATCAGGGAAAAAAGGAGCTGAGTGGGATGATGAGAAAGTCTGTGTCACATCCATGTTTTTCTCCAGCTGCATATGCTGAGCTTTTCCTAAGTAGGGTACCTGTGGGAACTGAAACTATTATGCCATTTTCACCAGAGAGACACCTTGACAGAGTAACTCAGATTCAGTGATGAGCTCACCGATAGGTGGGATTATGACTAATTTGGGGCTAGTAAGTACAGCAACACACACAGTAGAAGAGAAAATTAGGATGGTTTTCCCTTCTTTTAAACATGAACTTCCATCATGTCTAAGTCTTTTTAGTGCTAATCCAGTTACAACTGGGATGGTCTAAAACAGTAAGGACATACATAAAGATACCCCGTGTCACCTTTGCCTTCCAGAATAAGGGATTTAAGATGGCTCAAAAAACTCAAACATGTTTGAAACACCTGAAATAAAACCTGGGAAGCTCCAGGTCCCTGTGTACAGAAGCATAACACTCTTGAGCCTCAACAAGTCTTAACCACTATGCCCATGAGCAAGCCTGGGACTCGCCCTGCCAGCATGCAGGACTGTGCAGCCCCACAGCAGGACACAACAGCAGCCAGAGGTTGGCTTCCCACACATGGCTGGGGGCTGCCTGCTGAAAACCCTGTCATCTCAGTGCCCATCTTCAGGCTCCTGAGCACTTTGCTGGGTCTCAAGTACTCTGGGCTTGTTTATTGAAAGTTCAGAATAACCTTTTGCTGCTCAGTAGGTTTTTACTTTTATCTCTTTTTCAAGTTGTCCATATGACTATGGTCTTGGAGAAACCCTGTTGAAGATATACAGCAGTCTTAATTACTACAGGCTAACTACCTTTAATGAGCAAATTTCCATACACTGATGTGGGATTTGGCCTGAAATAATTTCAGACACCTAAAATTATTGATGTTATATCTTTTATCTACATTATGCAATGATGATTCTTGGCAGTATACTCAAATCAGAAGAGGAGTACAACTCCGAAGATCTGAGACACCCATTTGCTTCTAAGTAATATAATGTCCCAGCTTTGTTTGAAGGATTGTACTTGCTAAAGCAGCTTCACAGTGCTGCTAGCTTATGCCATTTATCCCTATGATCATTTGCTTTTTAGCACTATTAGTCAAATTAATACAAAAAATATAACAAAAGCTCCAAGGGTTCAAGATGTACTGCCCCAGAACAAAGTCTCAGTTTCTGGTCTTGGATACTGTTCTCCTGCAGTCTGCACTACAGCTACAAACACAAACAGTAAGAGAGAACAGATCATCATAAAAAAGCTGAACTGAATCATCAATCTGTTGAGAATATGCTTTCCATTTAATCAAAAGAAATAGTTAAGCACTAGCACTATTCAGAAGCTACTAATTTGTACTTTAAGGCTGCAATTATATTTTCCATTTTTCTTGATGTTCACACAAATATGTGTGAAAGATTGGTTCCCTGGTCTACTAGGAGTGAAGAAAGTAATGCTCCCCACAAATAACTGTAGTTATCTGGGAATCAGCACCAGAAAAAATCAACCCTGGCTATTACCTCATGGTATACAGCAGAGTGCCATCATCCTCCAGGCGCAGAAGCTTGTTTGGGGTTGTCATGTTGTGAGCGATAGACTTCTTGCCATTGTGGAAAAAAGTGTCTGGGGTCCAGATCTTGCTGGCGAGCAAGTTGTTAAGAGGAAGGCGTTGCATAGGTCCTTTGAATCGCAGCCTTTCATCTTTCCAGCTTTGTCGGAAAAAAACGTCAATGGTGTATTCCTGGCATAAAGAAATACTCAAGGTATTGCAGGATCTGAATAGAAATTATGGTTCCAAAAATGACTTCAGCAAAGTAAATACAATCAAATTGGCAGCCACATGCTAACTTACCATTTCTGTGTCTGACACAGGACCAAAACTGGTAACATAGATGTCTGTTTTCACCTGAGTTATTCGCTCTGTAATAAACATAGGCTCCGCATCAGTAATTGCTTTAAAATGCAAATACCTTCTAGCAATGCTTATTTCTATTAATTTCTGAATTACTCAAAAATCCCCAAAAGATTGAAATTAAGAGCATGCTTGAAGAGGCTTTTAATCCTGGATGAAATGCAGTTGTTGACCTTTGGGAGTCTAGGCTTTGCTCTTACAAACAAAAAGAAACCAGCCCTTCAAGAGTGCATTTCCTCTGACTGACAAGTTTTGCTCATAGAGACACAGAATGGTTTGGGTTGGAAAGGACTTTAAAGATCATCTAGTTTCAATCCCCTGCCATGGGCAGGGACACCCTTGACTAGGTAAGGTTTCTCAGAGCCCTATTCAACCTGGTCTCGACCACTTTTACGGATGGGGTATCTATAGCTTCTCTGAGAAACCTGTTCCAGTGCCTCACCACCCTCAAGGTAAAGCATTTCTTCCCAATACCTAATCTAAATCTACCCTCTTCCAGTTTAAAACCATTATCCCTTATCCCATCACTCCCTGACAAAAAGTTCCTCCCCATCCTTCCTCTAAGCACCTTTAGGCAATGGAAGGTTTCTACAAGGTTACCCCCAGAGCCTTCTCTTCTCCAGGGTGAAGTACCCCAACTCTCTCATGTCTTCACAGTAGAGATACTCCAGCCTTCTTATCATCTTAGTAACTTCCTCTGGACTCACTCCAACATGTTCATGTCCTCCTTATGCTGGGATTCCAGAGCTGAACACAGTACTCCCAAAAGCAGAGGGGAAGAATCTCCTCCCTCAACTTGCTGGCCACTCTTCTTTTGATGCATCCCAGGATGGGATTGGCTTTCTGGGCTGTCAGTTAACACTGCCAGCACTTATGCAATACCTACCACAGGATCAGATGAAGTGTATCTTGGAAGGACCTACTCCCCTCAGCTGGCTTGGGCGATCTGCCTGATTTCAGACAGCTATCAGAGATGTCCAAAGTTAGGTCAAATTATTTCTACACTCAAGTCTCTTAAGTGCTTCTGGCATCTTTTCAAATCCAGGTCTAATTTAATTTAAGGGCAGAAATTTCAGAAGTTCGTTATATAAGATAAAAAGCATCGAGCCCTATTTTCAAGCATCTCTGTGTAAAGTGAGAGGAGAAGGAGAGAAAGGGATGAAAGCAATGTGTTGGTCTCACAAGAGGAAGGGGTGGGGGTAGCCAGATTAAAAAAGGGCCAGGAAGAAACATAACAGATGGTTTACACATGGGTAGAAAATGAGAGAAATCTGGGGGAAAGAGAGCTGAAGGAGGGCTCAACAAGGTTAGGATGGCAACCACTATTCACATGCTATGGTTTTAAAATAGCTGCTGTAGAGGTTATCAAAAAGACATATCAATAAAGATTTGCTGTACTTGTCTAAATATGGATGGTTTGGAGATCTGTTTTTAAAAGGGATATGCATTATCAACATAATTTTATACAGGCTGGCCAGTAAGGCAATCTTGCACCAACCTGCTAGCATAATGTCTTGCTCACCTTAGGAAATACCAGAAAGAAAAATCCAAACCGTATTTAATTACAGAAAAAAATGTATCATAGATGCTCTCCTAAGCCAACCTCAGATGACCTGAGTGACTGAAGAACACTATTTTCAGTAAATTTTTACTTGTGCCCCATTTGCTAGGAGACAAATCTGCTTTCTGGACTGACTTTAGTTAATCAAACACAAGTCCCTTGTCACAGCCAAGAGCAGGTACCCACTTGAGAGGGCACCATGTAGACAATACTCCTGTCTAGCAGGGGACTGGCCGAGCCACCACGTTTTCCTACCTCCCAGTCCTGGGCGCAGTCTGTTGTCGTAGCCGTCCAGCAGACCATCCAAGATCCTGGTGAATATAGTGATGTTATCATTGGCCTCCTCCTTTACTGATGGTGTGGGCGTTTGTGAAAAGCTGTTTTATGCAAACAAAAGGAAATATGTCAAAAGCCAGACTGATTTCAAGGGACTTCAGTCTCAAGGGTACTCTGTGATGGAGCCTCTGAGGCTCTCTCCTCTCCTGCTGCTCCCGAACAACACAGGGAGCGGCAGCCATTTATTTCACCATTATTATAAAGTCATAAATAGCTGTCCCTGGAGGAAGACCCAAAGAAGAACCTATGCCATAGAGGTAAAACTAGGGGATGCAGGACTGGGGGACACATGAGCCCTTTGATCTTTGTCCCTAATGCACAGGCAGATCCCTGTCCCCTGTGCTACCCCTTCCCACATTAGCCCCTGCACCTCCCCAGTGCTGGCAGAGCTCCATCCATGGCAGAGAGCAAGGTCAGCTCACAGCACTGGCAAGAACTGTTACTGGTTTTCCTAAGGTTACCTCTCCATTCCTCAGGAACTACTGGCTGGGGAGCTGCATGAGAAGCACGGGTTTACCTGGAGATGCACCTTCAAGTATGCTTGAAGGTGCTGTTCAATCTTTAAATGCCAAACAGCTTCTAATTTTCAAAGTTTCTATAATTTATTGCCAGAACAAAGGATGAACTGTGACCTTATTTGAGGATAACAAACTCCCACTACATTCAAAAATCCCACTGGGGTATCACTGGGGTATCTGAAAAACATACTGCTGTACAGAAAACACAGTTCTTCACTCCTCCTCTCTCTTTTGCATAAATTAGTTCTCCCTTGTAGTATGCAAATAACAGCAATGTGTAGTGGGCCTCATTCCATATCTTTTGGGCCAGATTTGTGTTTATTCCGAACTCTTCTTTATTTCATCATTTCATCCGTGGCTCAGACCTAGGAAGCTGCTCACAGCACAACTAACAACTCGCATTTTTAAATCTGTTTGATTTTCATTTAAAGATGCTTAGGAGAATCCCCTGCTTATTAATGCTTTTGCTTACCTAAAGAATAGACATGGGAGATTATCCACAAGCATGCTTCACCTGCAGCAAGCAATGGGCATCTCTTAGGACAGCTCACACTAGGCGCTTATTCATGATTCAGCCTCTGCTGAGATCACCAGCAAATCCTCCAGCTGTGACATGCACACTGCCCTACCAAGAACTGAACCCTGCCTCATGCACCCTGCCAGCAGGCAGGAATAGCTTATACTCAGCAACCTGAACTCGATGGGAGACAATCATCCACAGACAAAATAAATAAATTAATTAAAAGAATCCATATTTATTTACTACCAGTTCCCAGGAAAAGAAACCCGTAAATAAATAGAGAAGCTCTGAGCATCTCTCTGAACAGCTTTCTTTGCAGAATACTTGTAAAATATGTGGTTGCCTTACCTAACAGAATAGGATTCAGACAAAGAAAGACAAAGGGAACTCAACCTGGTTTTACCTGCATAAGGCTTCCACTAATGAGACCTCACTGACACCCCTGTAGTGCATCTGGAAGTTTAAATGACACCAGACCCAGCTCAGAACAAGCCACGTATCCCCTCCCAGACACGGGGACCCCAGCCCTGCGCTCGTTCCCTTTACAGTTTGTATGCCCTGCTGAAAGAGGAAGAGATTGCAAAGCCTCTCAGGACATGGGAGCAAAGTCAGGTCGAGGGACCAAAGATGTAATTCCTGAAACACCAAAGCCCATGAAAATGCCTGTTTGAGGAGGTTTCTTATGACCTAAGTGCAGTTGGCACTTCTGCAACCCTTAGCAAGCTCCACACTGCAGATCCCAAGGCCACCAAGGATCTCCCGTCACTGCAGGTGGAGGCATAGCCACAAATCTTGCCTATTTTTCATCTCCATGGTCAAAAAGACCAAGTTAATTCTGTTTTGTCTGCTGTGACCACAACCTCTAGTGAGCAATTGAGGCAGACAAGAAAGACAGTTAATCCAGCAGATGAAAACTGATTACAGAAACATTAGACATGTTTTCAGGCTGGACGATTCCAGAAAAAAGACTGTGAACTTTTTTTGTCAATTGTAATACAAGGGATTCACCATTTAAAAGTGAATATTCAAAAGTAGTAGCCTAACAAATGCAAACAGGAGACAGAGCTTAGAGACCTTCTTTAAATGCAGCAACCAAAACGAATGCTTTGATACAATCCTAGTATAAAGCATGAAAATCCAGTATACCTAGAATACTATTTTTGACTTTTCTCATCTATTTTATCTTTTCTTTTTCATAAGAAAGAGATATGCATCATGCTGTCTGACTGCTACCCCGCATCAACGTAGCAACCCATTTTCATTTTCCACTGCATCTGACAAAGAAGCAGAGAGATCAAACTTCATTTCGTTCCTATAAGTTTCGTGAGAAGCTGTGAGTAGACAAGGGGAGAGCAAAAAATTAGTGCCTCATTAAGTAAAAATGTGAGGTTAGCAGTCATCTATTTAATCTGGCTTGCTGAGTGGGCCACTCAGTATGCATGTGGCTCAGAAACAGCCTCAGCAAGACCAGCCCCCCTTCTCTCTGACAATTAAGAGGTATGGAGGAGACTTGCAGGGTCATTATGAAAGATCTTGGGAGAAAAGGACAGCACAGGTAAAATATAGGTCTTGCAATGGGAGATGGGAACAAGGGATATCAAATGAGGATCTGGCATTATTGCAAAGATGCAGTGCTGGGGGCACAGGACACAAAGCTTCACTAGTTTCTCTGCTCTTGAAAAAGCTTGTTATTTTTAGGGCTTATGGCTGAATTCAAAGCCAATTGAACTATGAGAGAGGATTTCCATTGAACTATTTTTGTGGGAATGGGACAAAATATATTTAATTCTCAGAACTGCTCCTCTCAATCTAACAAGAGATGCTACTTCCTCCTATCTCAGTTATGTATGTCTTGCACAGGAATAGTACACACAACCCATACACTGAAATACTTTTGTTTCTTCACAACAAAAGCTAATTATTAGAGGAAAAAGATGGAGAAACAAGTATGGTGAAGACTAGTAAAAAGTCTGCACTTCTGCAAAACTGCAATCCAATTTAGATTTGACAGATCACTTCACCCAAAAATGAAGGCATCTGATTCCGAATTTCAGTGAAATGCCAGTATTATGTGAAGTTGCATTTGTAGATGGATTGCTGTTTGCTCTTATGTAAGTGTGACTTTTTCTGTCTTAACAGAAAGTTAGCATGTAATTTCTGTTATTGAGATTGCTGGTGAAATGCACGTTTTGGAGTAAGGGCTGAGATTGTCGTGACATGTAAAAAGGCATGCAAACTCTACTTGCAAAGTTACATGCATATATTAGATACTATATAGCTCAACGAATAGAGAGAAATCGGTGCTACCTACCCTAAACTAATTATTTCCACACAGCCGAGGATTAGGCTTTATCAAGATATTAGTAGGTAAGCACATTATTGCTCTCTGCAGTGAAAAATGTTTTTATAGCAGAAATTTTCAGTTAGGGATAAAAATAAACCTAAGAAAAAAAATCTTAGAGAAATGCTAAGAAAAATCAGAGATAATTGCATTTAAAGCTCATTATTGAACATAAACTAAACCAACCAGGAATACTTCTCATCACATTTATTTAATATTGCAATTTTAGGGTAACTGAAAAAATCATAAGCCACAGAAGGGGCCCATCAGTGTAAAATGTTATAACTCTCTAAAGATGTTCAGCTATCTCTTCTGATGATTTCATAATTTACCACTTTAAACATCATCTTTTTTGCCATCTAGTCAGAATCAGGGAGGTACTACTCACAGCTTAGTTGTAATAAAAGGAAAAATTTGATAGATATTTAATGATTTTCCCAAAATGTATTTAAAAAGAAACTGTAAGAATTTCTGAAAAAAAAATAACTGAAGACTATTTTACTACAGAAAGGTATATTTTATTATCTTTTAAGAGTAGTGTTTCTTATAACTTGCTTTAATAGGATTGCAATTATATCTGAACTTCAGACAAATTAACAGTTCGTGAAAGACAGTGCAGAATGCAAACTTTTGGATAAAGCCAGCTGGCCAGACATCAAAGGAAAAAGAGTTACTTTTCTAAGTTAGCTTCTTGCCACCCCATCCGTAAGGATTCTTGAGACCTAAAAATGTTGATTTTGTGAATTCGTGCACTGAAGACTCAATTCTTTCACATTGGATTAGAAGACTGACTAAAATGATGAAATTTTAAAACTATTTTCAGATTCTTAAGAAATAATTTATTTCTTTTGTTTAGCAAGAGCAGTGTTTTACTACCTTCAGGGAAGGAACAATTTGTGAGCAGTGCAGTGAAAGCCTGTTTCTCACAGGGTGACATCTTACAGTCTTCCCCATCCCCTGACATCCTAATGCCCCTTTCGATGTCTGGAGCTTCTTCCAGGCTCATTAAACACCTCCCAGCACTCTCAGCTCCCCAGGTCACTGACCTGCAGCTTCACTGGGAGGCACTGCATGCCAGGGCTTCTCCTGCACCAAGCAGAGCCGGATGGCCTGAGGGACACTCGGGCTCTTTGGCCAGCTGGCAGGCCAGAGATGCTGAAGCCATTCAGCTGTTTGGCAGTGGGACTGACTGATACCTGTCTGCCTCCTGCATGCAGTTCTAGATAGCAATTTAGTTTTCCAGTTATTAAAATTGTCTAGTGGGTTCAAAAAGCTATATGGAGATATGAAGAATGAAAGGCAGACAGAATAAAAAAATAAACAGACAAGCATGACTGCATAAGGATACAATAATTCTTACAAAATTAGCCTTTAAAAATATGAGGAAGAACTCCCTAGCATCACAAGTACTTGAAATGAGGTATTCCAGCAGAACTAACTGAAATAGAACTAATTGAAATAACAGCTTGAAGGAGAGGTATGTTTTGCCTAAATAGCAGGGTTATGGCCTTAGTAATAATGGCTGTGAGCTGGAGAAGAAGTATGTGAAAATACAGACACACCACAGACTGAATTCTTCAGAGTGTACAGAGAAATTCTGGGTTGGCTACACATAATTGGGATCTTCTGTTCTCTGTGTTTCTGCTATTATAAATATTATTAGCAGATGGCAGCTATACTGTGGGTACATGAACAACGTCCATTCCTGTTGGTTCTGGCTCTTAGACACATTTCTGAAATTGTATATCCAAAACACAAACACACCAGGACTGTGCATCACCAGTGTGACCCCATGGACAGCCTGGGACTTGCAAAGTAAGAGCTGACCAGCTTGGAGCCAACCATGGGCTACCTCATCTCAGGGAGATCTGTGTGCAAGCAGCTACATGTGGCAGCAACCCTCACAGGGCTGCCACTACCTGCACGTCCTGAGGGCTCATAAGCAGTCTTTTACCTCACCTAAAAATACTCTTCATGGTTTTATTTTACTTTTAATCATTCCCTAGCTTTATTATTAATGTTTACTTTTGAGAAAATTGTGAGCTACCTTGAAATGCTTAAGTAAAACACCTTAACTTGTTAGAGCATTATACAACTCAAGGCTGAATTCAAGCAGACTTGAAAAATCTTTGACTAGTGCTGCACCATTTCTGCAAAGTAGATTCATAAAACTGTTATACCAAAACCAGGAAGGGGGGTTACTTCAAAACCTCTTCTCAGTTCATCTATATCTTTGCATTTAAATTCAGTGATTTTTCTTTAGATAGCTGCTACCAATTATGTCTACAGTCCTCCTCTACTGCCTACTAATGTGGATAATTCTCAATAGTCATTACACATTTATGTTAAACACTAATCGGTCTTCTGCTGAGATTTCTCAAGTAGCCTAGTAGATTGAGATACATAATTTCTGTTTATGTTACCACGCATTGTGCACCAAAATCCCCCAAGGTGGCTTTGGCTATGTCAGCAAAAAACGTATTTATGATTTAATATAAACATGGAATGACTATGGAGACCTATAGAAAAATATCTGCCTTCCTCTCTAATGTCCTACAGTATTTTGATTTTTAATTTGTGTTCCTTTGACCAATCACTTTTATCTAGCACATTGCAAAACTCACTGCAATATAACAGGGCAGTAGAAACATGGATGAAGCTAATAAAGAAGAATCTGGTAGCAACAGCAAGTGTTATCAGTATTAGATTCCTGCAGTTAATACAGCAGCCTACATGTTAATTGTACTCCTCCGTCCTGAAGAGTCAGTCCCAAAGCACTTAGCAAATTACACTCTGAAACTGCTTCTGCCTCTGAAGCAGAAGAGCTGGAGCATCCTCTGTCTTTTGAGCAGGGTCAAAATTCAGCCCTAAGGCAGTGTGTGAATGGTGCAGTGAATTGGAGCTGCTTATCTCTGCAGGCCTGGACTAAAATTACTAGATCAGAAATAGGGGGCAAGGGGGGTTGGGGTGGGGGGAATTTACGTGATGATCTCATTTTAGTGCACAGAACCTTTTTGACTAACTTGCAGAAAACAGTGTCCTAGTTTCCTCTAACTGTCCTATTCTGGTTATATGCCGGGTTACAGGTCACACTGATTTCTACCTGGGACTTGGATTCAGTACTTGCTTTGGAGTTGAAAGGGAGTCAACCATCTGGGTTTTGGGTTGTTTGGCTTTGGGGTTTATTGCATCCTCATATTTGCATCCTCACCTACTCTTCTGTTAGAGAAGATACACACTTAAAAGACCCACACACCAAAGAGGTCACACTCAACTAGGGCAATGTGCTGCCTTCTGCAGGGATGATGAACAAACAAGAACGGCATAAGGTTATAGTCACCAAGATCTTCTCAATGTGGAAATACTTCAGCAAACTACAATAATGTAAAGGCAAGTTTAAAGCAAGTCCCACTCTGCCCTCTTAAATTCTGTCACAAAATCCTGGGACACTTTTGCCTTAGACCATGGTGTAAGAAGGACCAGGTTTTTCCAAGGTGAATAAATGAGCGTGAAACTCTTTGCATCTTTTGTAGAGTGCAGTCCTACAGCTGCTCATATAAACCTCTGAGGTCATAGGCTTCTGCCTACCTGCACGGGACACATGCTGGATACCAGGCTAAGCTTTGCTTACAGCATAGTCACCACTCAAAGTTTGGTCTTTCTCCTAGTTCCAATCTGGAACAAATCTGTTTGCTTGAAATCAGAAACTGATTTGCATCTCCATTTTGTATCTTCTTATAGCAAGGAATTGATGGGTGCGCTTGTGAATCAGCATGTTGGGAGGATTCATTTTTTCTGGTGAAATCATAAATAATTGTTCTCCTCCACAAAGAAGAATCATCCTACATTTCCCAAGCACTTGCAAAATGCTTTTTCCAGATTCCATTGTATAGCTCATATTCAAAAAGTTCTTAAGATCTCTGGGTATAGGAAAAACATATAAATAGAGGGTTTCTGAATTTATTTTTCATTTTTTAAGACCTAGAGTTGGAGTATCTCTTTGATACAGTTTTCAGAATATCACTGTCAGGAAAGCATCCAAAGCAAAAATAAGGAAACGGGATTCCTTGCTATATGCTTCAGGGAAGCACGATTTCTAATTATTCTAACAAGTGTCAAACTCAGACATCCTTCTAAGCAGTCACTGTCTTAGGTCACTCGGGAGGAAACCCTGTACCAGCTAGTAACATGCATCAAGTCTCACTATCGCAGTTCTGGGGGTTTTTCTGCACTACTGCCTATAACCAGCAACCATCAGGTGAGAGGGAAGGTGCAAGATCCCAACATCACAGACAAAAGGACAGAGGGCACCACAGCCCCGGCTGTTCTAAACCCAGGTCAGAGCACTCAGCAGCTGTAGGCCTGGTCCGAGCTCCTTGTGCCCCACAAGCCTTTCCCTATGCCACCATAGCAGGCATAAAGAACTGATACAGGAGAGCAAATCTGAACAGGAGAGCAAACCACTCCCTTCCCCCTGACACCAGCACCTTAAGATGAAACGCAAAGCCCGCTTGTTTTGTTCAGCTGCTCCGTACCACACAGAGCCAAGGTTTCTCATCTCCTTAAAAAAGCCATAGCAGAAATTCAAATGCAATTGGCAACTCACCCAAAGTGGCTGGCTAAACTCATGGAAACGCAGAAGAGGAAGAAGTTTTTGATCATGATAAAGTCAGAGACCATCCCATTGTCCATTCCAGAGGAGAAGAGGAACGCAGGTGGTTGCTTTGGTGAAGGTGCAGCTGTTCACTTTGTTCTTACACTGCAACAATACAAAAAATTGATAAATTATTGCGTGGACAGAGAGCAGGATAGCGGAGTTCAGCTAACATCGCATCTTTTGCTATCTGCGTTTTTCACAAACTTATCTAGCTTATGTAAACATCAGCTGTTTATGTAAAATTGTGTATCTTCAAGGACATGTTTTACCTTCTGCTGTCAGCAAACTGCAAAACAGGAAAAATTCTTTGTGGCCCAGCTTTTCCCAATATTCTTCTGTGGTACAAGTAACTAAAAAAATAGCCACCATTTTCCAAATGCCAATTTCAACCCTTTACCTATTTCAACAACTTCCACATGCCTGCAAACCCAGGGCTGTGTGCAGCCTCCGCATCCTTTCCTTCCATCGCAATTTTTTCCCATTAAATACCCGGCTTCCCTTTCCAAAATCCCAGTTGAAATGCCAAGAAACACCTACTGCTTCTTGGAATTCATGCTGCTGATGCACGGCTTAGCAAAAGGAGGGTGGGTTGTTGGGGGGGGGGGGGGGGGGGGGGGGAAGAGGGTAAAAAGTGACCTTCCTCGCAAAGGCACATAAACCTCACGCTAGCACGAAGAACGACAGTAATGTAGCTGCTCCAGCGACTGCTGCTTTTTGGATACCTGCCTCAGCGACCAGATCACCAATTTCAGCATTGTGCACTAACGTTTTCCTCTGTGCCCTATTAAAAACAAACAAAAAACCAAAACCACAACAAAACCCCCCAAAAGCCAACGAAACAAAAAAACAAACAAATCACCCGGAACCCAACAAAAACCCCAAAACAACCCCCAAAAACACACCCAGAGGGGACTTTCCTGAATTTTCCGCCTGAGCCCTGTGCCCCCGTGCTACATCTCTCAGCAACTTGTTCTCCCACCCCACCGGAGCCTCAAGGCAAAACGCCCGATCCAAAAGCCGCCCCCCGGGGCTCCCCCGCCCGGCCCGCGCTGCCCCGCACCGGGTCCCGCTCGCTCCGCACGGGCACTGCGGGGCCGCCGCTCCCTTCCCGCAGCCCCGGCCGGCCCGCACCTGTCCGGCGACCGTCGCTCACTCGCCGCCGCCGCCCGCGCACCGCGCCCGGGGCGACGCGCGCCGCTCCGCGGAGGGTGGCACCTGCCCGCTCGTGCCCGCTCCGCCGCTCCTTCCCGTCTCCCCTCCCCGCTCCCCACGGCACCCCGGGAGTGCCCCCGCCCCGTCCGCCGGCCGAAGTTTCCCGCGACCATGTGCGCGGCGCGGGGCGCGGCGGTGCCCGCCCGGGGGTCTGCAGCCGGGGCTCCCCGCCGCCCTCCGCCTGCCCGGCCGGGCGCGGGAGCCCGGCGCTTACCAGCCGCCGGCGGGGGTACGAGGAGAGGGGGCAGTGTTCGCCCGAAAGTTGCGGAGCGGCAGCAGGAGCGGAGCGGGAGCGGCGGCGCTGCCTCCCGGCCGCTGGCAGGCGCGGCCCCGCCGCAGCGCCGCGCCCGCGCCGCCCCCGCGCGGAGCCCGCGGCCGGGAGCGCGGGGCGGTGTGCGGGGCGCGCCCGACCCTCGGGCACCCGCGGCGACCTCCCGCCAAGGGGCCGCTCCCGCGCCCGTCGCAGCCGCGGGAGGCTTCAGCGGCTCCCGGAGCTTCCCGCACTGGTCTCCCTCGAGCAGCCCCCACCGAGCGCCCCCCGGGGCAGGGTCCCGGGCGAGCCCGGCCGGCACCGACTGTCCTCGGGGAGAGGGAGCCCCTGCCACAGCCCGGGCGTGCAGGGGTCGAGTGACCGCGGGGCAGGGGCACCCAGCACGGCCGAAGCTTGCCGCCGTATGGGCTCGCTGCACCACGCGTGTGTTAGCGTATATATGTATAAACACACCCCTACATACCCAGGTCTTACCTATACTTCTCTTCCAGTGGACCTAACCTAAACCATCATAGCTCTTAAATTCTGAAGTCGTAGATTTATATCCACAACATAAAGTCTCTTTTTACATCCTCACTGTTAGACATCCACAGTTTATATATCGGCGTTGCATATTCCATGAGACCTGCAATAACTTCGAGGTTTCCTCGCGATTGTGTGTGGTGCTATTCCTGAAAAATGGATGCATTGTTTCACATCTTCAATGATAGGAGCATTACACTCGCTGTATGTTCAAGCCACATATATAATGTACTGCTTGCAGGTTCACTTTGAGCTAGATGAAAGATTAAATGAATGTTGTATAGTCCTACTTCCTGGGGATTCCTTGAGATGAACGCAACGTTTTGCAGCATGCGCATCTTACACATGATAATATACGATTTCAGAATATACTGCCATGACTATTTCAAAGTAACACTCCAAACTCAGTTATTAAATTATCTGATCCAATAAGGTATTGCCTGTCTTTCAGGCAATGTTATGGATCAATGAAGCACTTGTTTTTTCCTACATCCATATAAAAGCTCTATGGAATTAATCCCTCCACTGAAATCAATATTGGTTCTGTAGTTCATTGCCACAGAGGGTGCTGGTCTGTGTGCCTAGTTCACAGTCTGCACTGTCTGAGTTGAAAAGTGGTCCTTAGAAATTTCAGAAATTACATTTTTTCCCACCTAACAAAGCCAGAAATGTTGCACCAGGGAGAATCTTCTATGTAAACATTGAATAATTTTCCTAGTATCAATCGAGTAGGATTTTTCTTGTACAGTTCTTTGTAATTCCTCTCTTCAACATTCCCTTGAGACTCATCAGGGATTGGATTAGATGATTTTTAAGGGTCCCTTTCAACCCAAGCCAGTCTATGGTTTAATGGCTCTGTATCTGGTGCTTAGCTGCGTTCGTTTTACAGCAGTGATTTATGATCTTGAATGCAGAGCCAATGACATACGTTGTTCCTCGTTGTTCCTTAGTGACTTCAATAAATATGAAGTTGTGAATGAATGTTGCTATCAGAACAGCTTTCCCAGTGCTTAAAAATATCTAAGTTAAGTAGTATGAAGCGCCAGTAGTTTCTCATTATAATGTTCATGCCTAGGAGTGTTTAAATCACATTTTTTACAGTGCTTTGATTTATAGTACAAGCTATTTATATCTCTACATAGGTGATATTGTAAACATATGTGATCTTTAAATAATTTTACAAAAGAGATATGTAGGAATATTGGCCTAGACTTTAGTGCAAGCAAGTGAGAGCTGTGTGCTTCGGCCTCTCGCTCCAGCTCCCTGGCGAGCAGAATAGAGTCTCGGCTCCTCTGACTCCCTACATCTTCTCCGCGAAGCCATATGTTGCAGATCCGCTTCTCAGCACCAAAGGGAGAAAGCGTTTAGGAACTGGGGGAGCAGAACAGCAAAAAAATGTTTAAGGAACTCTTAAAGAAAAGGAAAGAGAAACGGTACAAAATGGTTTGGGCTGGAAAGGGATTTTAGCGATCACCTAGTTCCACCCGCTGCCACAGGCAAAGACGCCGCGAAAGCGCCTTATTCGGCGACACAGCGAGCTGAGCAGTGCCGGCGTCCCGCGTCGCGGCGCCCCCCGAGCCGCGCCCGGCCCGCCGCTCCTCCCGCCGTGTCCCTGTGCCCGGGCGGGCGACCTCGGCCGGGGGCTGCCGCCGCCGCTGCTGGCGCTGCCGGTGCCGCCGGAGGGCAGCACAGCTCCACGCAAGCGGCGGCACCGGGGGCGGGACGCGGAGCGGCGGGGCCGGGCGGCGGCGGCGGGGCCGGGCGGCGGCGGCGGGGCCGGGCGGGCACGAACCGGGCCGGACAAAGCGGGCCGATCGCACAGGCTGGAGGGCTGGGTCCAGGCGGGACAGTGCTTTGGCCTGCGATCGCTGTTAGGGCCAGCAATAGGGAGGTCGCTGCTATGAAGGCAGCGGTATTGCGCCTTTCTCCGCTGCGTGTTTCTTAGGGCACTCCCTTGTGATTCACACGCACCCTGTTTGGATCCTCAGCCTCCTTGTCACCCTTTAAAGGATACCTTGAATTTAGTATGTGAATCAAATGCATTCTATTAGGGTCAGGGAAATGTTTTGTTTGGATGATTGTTCTCTTCTGGTGTGTAGCAAAATAACAACTTGGCCATTCCATTCGGTGATTTTCTTTCAAATTTGGGAGACATTTGTATAGCCCCTCTCTGACAGTTCTCCTCCTTGTTTCAATAAGTAATGTCACTTATTTGTAGTGAGGAATGCATTTGAGGTCGTTCATCCTCAATATGGGACTGATACAATAGTGCAGGCAAATTGGGCTGTGATTTTTACCACAACACATGCTTGGGAGCTCACTGGAAAACACAGACCAACTTCTCACTGTTTTAGAAAATGGCCTGTTTTTCCAGTAGCCAAAAGTGTCTCTGTAATTGATCAAATTATTCCTTCTTCGAGAGTTACAGAGAGCTCGTGAAGTTGAGTGGAGGTGTGACATGCTGTGGGAATTGGTGTGAGTAGGCTCTTCAGAGGCATTCTCCTCTACTAAAACAATTCAATTCCATCATCTAGGTAGGGAGGACTGCCTGTTCACTTGAAATCTTCTGTCTTTCGCCTCTCAGCTAAGATTCCATAAAAGGTGGCACTTGGAGCAGTGACTTTCGTGGTACAAATCCTCTTCCAATAGAGAGCAGTCTGAATTCATCAGTCATTGAAGGAGCCCCTAATCATCAGCTAATACAGACTCAGTGACTCTCAATGCAGAGACTGGATCTGAGCAAAGGGTGAAAGTCTGGTTTTTACTCACCTCTTTACTGTATCTCTAAAGACTGGAGTCAAGACTCTATTGAGCCCAGGTGAGACATACTCGGAGTTCCCCAGTATGAAAGAGACGTGCAGGTGGTCAAGAAAGTCGAGCAAAGGACCAAGAAGACTATTAAAGGACTGGAGTGTCTCTCCTATGAAGGTGAGGCAGAGAGAGCTGGGATTGTCTAGACAGGAGAAGAAAAGGCTAAGGGGGATACTTATCCATGGGTATAAATACCTGAGGGAAGGGTGCTGAAGAAGAGAGAGACAGATTTTGCTTAGTGCTACTGGCTGACAGTAAGTCCTATGAGGAGGGAGCTGGGGTTGTTTAGCCTGGAGAAAAGGAGGCTCAAGGGAGACCTTACTGCTCTCTACAACTACCTGAAAGGAGACTGTAGCCAGGTGGGGATTGGCCTCTTCTCCCAAGCAACCAGTGAAAGGATGAGAGGAAATGGCTTCAAGCTGCACCAGAAAAAGTTCATGTTGGGCATCAGGAACTTCTTCACAGAAGGAGTTGTTAAGTATTGGAATGAGCTGCTCAGGGAAGTGGTGGTGTCACTATCCCTGGAGGTGTTCAAGAAATGACTGAATGTGGCATTTAGTGCCATGGTCTAATTGACAAGGTGGTGATCAGTCGAAGGTTGGACTTGATGATCTTGAAGGTCTTTTCCAACCTAAATGATTCTGTGACAGGAAAAGGTGCAAATTAAAAGGTGTGACATTCCATCTGAATACAGGAAAACACGTTTTTACTTTAAGGATGGTCAAACATAGGAACAGGTTGCCTAAAGAAGTTGTGAAGTCTCTGTCTGTGGAGACAAAATTTGAAGATAAATGATCCTGGGAAACCCACTTTTACTGATCCTGTTTGAGCAGGAGCTGGACCTCAGTAATCTCCAGAGGCACCCTCCAGCCTCTGCCATCCTATGATCCTGTAAAATATGAAAACTGTCCTATCCTGCAAAAGTCTCTCCTCATTTCTCTAAACCATTTCACAAATGTGTCTGGTAGTGAAATGATGCAAACAACCTTGCTGATGTGAGAGGTATTAGAGTCTGATAGACTTTAAAGCATTTGATGTATTTCTGAATGATAAAGAGCCTTTTTTTTTTCCTGTAATGCCATGGACACCACAAAACATGATCAATTTGCTGCATTTCACTTGTCTCCCGGACCATGCTGCAGAGAGAGCTGCTTTTAGGACCTGGTGTTTTGGTAGTTTGTTCTGTGCATCCCAGTGGCAATGGGGAACTACTTACCTGAGCTTTGTGAAAAATGGCTGGGGGCAGGGTAACACTGGGAAGGAGCTGGTCCCTGTTTGTGTAGCACAGAAGGCATCAGTGGTGCCATTGGGAGACAGAAGCAGATGCCCACCTGCAGTGTTCCAGCAGGTTGTGAGAAGTAACACCTTTAGCAAGCAACACTGATACTTCTGTAACCTATTTGTTGTGATTCTCAAATCTGCAGGTTCAAAGGTTCACCTGAATCTAATCCTGAGGAGGGCACTTTCTGCATGGATTCAGTTTAGAAATGAATGAAAGGCTGCATTTTCTCTTTGGCATTTCATCCTGTCTGCTATGGGCAACCTTCAGTCCGTTTCCACATATTAGACTAACAGTTGAGCAAGTGTTCAGGCTGTGCCTGAATACTGTTGTTGTGGATTCATACAATGTCCTAAGATTCACTGTTTTTGAAAACCACTCCAGGCACCTTTCAGAGGTCCTTACTCCAAGAACAGAACCCTGGGTGCTGGCAGCCTTATTTCTCAAGAATATCTGTCAAGAAGTGTAATGACTTTGTATTACAGACTATTTGTATTAGAGACTTTGCCCCTTTAGACAAGCAAAATGTTTCCTAGAGATGCCTCCCACACTGAAAGGAGTAGAGAACATTTCCAACATTTTTCAGCCCATTTTAAGGTTTTAATGCTTTAACCCTTGGGTTAGAGCATTAAAGAAAAGACTGTTACGTAAAGTGACATCCCTGTCTTTCTGCAGCCACGTAAAAGTTCCACCTTTTTCTCTAAATCCATTTAGATGTTTGACTCCTTACAGCTCCCTTGTCCCTTACCCATTCTCTCCTCCCCACAGGTTAACTGAGCTGTGGGGCTGATGGTGGGTTTCATCAGCCCTGACACTGCCCTTGCAGTGCATTTGCAGGGACATGTTGCTCACAGGCAGGTTTTGACCATTTGTTTATATCAGTTCAGCTTGCCACTGAGATAGCCCTTTTTACCTCTGCCTTAGAAAAGAGAATTTCTTCCACACCAGTGGAGAGCAATGAAAACTCAGAGTGAAAGGTCAAACTTCCTACAAATATTTTTTCCCGTGGAAGAATCGTGCTTTTATTCATATCCTTGCTAGGTTCAGATGTG